TGTGTTTGTGTGTGTGTGTAAAACAAGAATTTCAGTTGGTGATCACCTCTAGAGATTAGGCCTAGAAGTGGCCTGCTCAGACAGATGAACTCAATGTCACTCAGGTTGTTTTTTGTCCCGTGTCTCCACGGAGACTTGAATTCAACGAGACCGGGATAGAGATTAAGAGGGGCATTAGCAGCAGTACTCTTATTCAGCACATGAGTGTGCTGTCCGCCTCTGCTTTCACAGCAGCTATTCTGCCTTTGAGTCGGAGAGCCATGAAAGTTCTTCTGGGATATAAGATAGATATAGAGAAGATTGTAATGGAGTGTCAGTCTTGAGACTACTTTTTAATGCTGTCAGACTTCAGAAGGCTGAAAGACTATTTATTGTGTCAAGATAAAAGACATGCCAACTTTATTGACATTTGTCTCTGTCTCTACAGCACACAGTCTTTCTGTGTAAATAATTTATATAATAAGTGAAAGATTGTTTTAGATGTGGTGGTTTGTTGTATGGTTATCAAGTAGAGTGTACATACCCGCAAAAATATGGGAATTTGTACATTTACAAGAGGAAAGGTCGTAGTTTTAGTCTTGAATGAGATTTGAGCTGGTATTGACTTCCTCTTAACTTCTTATTTACATATAACTGGAGTTGGTATTTACAGTTTTGCCTACAGCCCTGCTGGAAGGGTTTATTGTATCAGAGATATTTACTTCAACATTTGCCTTTACCCACAGGCTGCTTACTCATCATTTTTTGCACGTCACAATAGTTTATTTTCATTTGATTACAAGCTTTGAGTCACAAATTTGAGCCATCTCTGAGTCACAATTTAAATTTCCTGGAAAATTTAAGTGAGAGAAATTAATGTGTATTTGCATGATGTACTTGGACAAACAGAGGATTTGTGACACAGTTAATGACAAACAGTACTTTAATCACAGTCAGTGTAGTATTATTAAGTACTAACATTACAGTAAAGTATTTTTTTTGTCTAAGGCAGGTTTCCCACAGTCAGGTCTGTAATACATCAGCCAAGCGTTTGGATAATGTCATGTTCTTGTGACGCATGTTTTAATGAGTACACAAGTACTATCATCAGCAGTGTCTTAAGAGGCAATTTTGTGGTAATTTATTCACTGTTATATTTCCACAGTGTTCACTATTTTATGTGTCTAATCCCGCCAGACAGCACTGTGGTTTGCCGTAAAACTAAATAGCTTCAATGTCCTGCCCTTGGATGCAGGCAGATGGTGGGGGACCTCAGGTTTCCAATGGCTTTCCTTTTTAAGTAAACCATTACCGCGCTGCGCTTTGCCAGTAGTGAGACAATCCAGAGCTCTTTTCTTCCCAGGCACATGAAAGGACGCTGTTTCTTTTTTTATTTTGTCAGCACTAAAGATTTATCAGGCTTTTTTATATTTAATTGAACTTAACTCTAATTGAAATGTGTGCTTTGTTGCAAATCTAATAAAAATCTAACAACAGATAGACATACTAAAGATGTCACGTGATGTTCTTATTTGCTGTTTTCAAATAACCACCTGCGCTGTAACTATGCAACGCCAGAGTGAGAGAGACAACCTTATCATTGTCGTAATGTGAGTCTTTGTTTGTTTCCAGGGTAATGTCGGTCCTGCTGCATTTTGGCTCTTGGGCTACTTGTTGACAAATCCTGAGGCTCTGGCAGCGGTGAAGAGGGAGATGGAAACCTCAGACTCTCTGTTGGACGGACCTGTGAACACCCCTGTGTTTGGTGAGGGCTTGATTCCAGCTTGTGTAAACATTTGTGAGACATTTATTGGTAGGAGGTTGTTCCTATTGTCAGCAAGATGAGCAAGTCTGGACTCACTTTATGTTGTCAGAATGCAAAATAGAATGAAATGTGAAATAATAGAAATGTTGTGCATATACAGTACACAAAATCACAAATTAGTGCAAAACAAAACATATTAAATCAAGAAATTAGGAGTTTACAAATCCAAATAGACATGGTGCACAGGACGAAATAGACTGGATTAGTTACAAAAATGAATTAAAAGGTAGAGAAATACTGACATTTTTGAGTAAAAATGCTTTTTCACTTATATGAACATTTCTTTTTTGCCCTTTTCAGATAGCGCCTTGGAGGAGGCACTTAGACTCACTGCTGCCCCCTTCATTACCAGAGAGGTAGTGCAGGAAAAGACTCTCCACATGGCTGATGGCCAAGAGTACCTGCTAAGGAAAGGAGACAGGGTGTGTTTGTTCCCCTTTAACAGCCCCCAAATGGACCCTGAGATTCACCAAGAGCCACAGGTTTGTTGTTCTTTCTTGTTAAAGCGACATCTTTCCAGCCCCCCACCTTTATTCGCTCTATCGAAACCTTCCTGTGCTGCCAACGGGAACAGTAGTAATTGTCTTTGGAACAAGTTAGAGGTAGACCTAAGTGTAATTAGTGTAGCTGTTTATGTAAGGTGGAATGAACGCCCACACAAAGCTGGCTCTGTGTTACCCAGTGAGAGGTCAAACCCAGAGCTATGGACCACTGACGGATTAGCCGATCACAACTAATAGGCGTGGGAAGGACATTACAGTTAGGAAAAAAAACTCTGTCCAGCTGAATTTAGACAAACATACAGTAAACTGTGTCATCAAGCTACTTTTCATAGATAAGTCTGTAATTTTTCTAATAATGCTTGCAGCTAATATATCTTTAAAAATGTGTTTCCTTTTCAGAAATTCAAGTACGATCGTTTCCTGAATGAAGACGGATCAGCGAAGAGAGTCTTTTATAAAGGAGGGAGACGGCTGAAATATTACACCATGCCATGGGGCGCAGGGACCAATGGCTGTGTGGGAAAGCAGTTTGCCATCAATACCATCAGACAGTGAGTGTCCTATAATTAGTGCACCATATAACTTTACAATCGGTTTGGACCTCAAAATGTTCTGCGTTGGAGGATTTTGTTACTTTTAGTTTCTGCTTGAATGTTCTAATTTTATGTTTGATCTGCGTTTACTCTTTAGGTTTGTTCACATGGTGCTGGCTAACTACGATTTGGAGTTGTCTGACCCAAATGCTCAGATACCGGAGGTAAATGCCAGTCGTTATGGATTTGGGATGCTGCAACCAGAGGGGGACTTGCTTGTCCGATTTAAACCTAGAAATACACACTAGTGCTTAAAAAAAAGCAAAACACATATGGTTTAATGAACATTTCAACACATACACCTTGTTTATAATGTCAATATGCCCTTTGTACTTTTATATTCTATATTTATATAATACAGTATGTAACTATTTTGTTATTTATCAATAAATGTAAATAATACATTGTGTGTGATCTTGTGTTTCTTTGAGTTTTTGGGTAAAATGATTGGTTCAAGTCCACTACAGTCATGTATGTTTGTGCTGCACCCAGACTGTTATTCTGTGAGTAAAACTGAAATAAGACATTGAAATGTGAGTAGGTGTATCTTTTAGGAGCTTTGGAGCCTGGCTCTGTATGTTAAATAGTGAGCACGAGTGTAATGAGGGGACTGCCTGTACTGTAAACAGAGCCGGCCACACATCTGTCACACTGACACATGCTTGCTGTTTGCGGAGTGAAGCTGAGTGGAAAGTTTAGATTTATATGTGGTGTGTGGAAAGCAACTGATCACTTGCTAGCAGCAGCAGATCCACCATAGACCACAGACTGTAAGTCACAGTGAAGGTTTGTGAAGGAGCAACGAAGAACATGCTCTTATTTCTACTCAAATTATAGGATTTATGTCACTGTTTAAGCCATGATGTGTTCACTTAAAGATGCATACAAAGTTGGTAAGGCACAATTATGGACAAAATCAGACCCCAGTAAATGTGGTTTAATTGTGAGTCCTGAGTGTTGAGACCCTTTCTGTGGATTTTTGAGTGACTTTCCCACTGAACCCTGCTGTGTCATGTAACCTTTAGTAGTATCTTGAATGTGTGGTACTTTTTAAATTTCCTATGATATATGGTGAGTTAAGTGGCCTTACTATAAATTAAATATTTACTAAAATGCTCTACAATTAAAGTGTGCAGTGTATTCCTATAAGACTGTTTGCTGGCTTATAACGCTGCTATATACAAATACTGCTAGATACAATATAGATGCACTGAACTGTGGCTCGCTGGCTCTGTGAGGGTTAAACTCGCTCAGGCTGCAGCCGTTGGAGGTGCCTGAGTAAAATCAGCCCCTGCAGGATCCCGTTCACAGTTGCAGGCGCCAGCCAGCAAGCATTCTCACTGTGAGCAGGTAGAGGAGCGGAGGTACCGAGAGTCTCCAGAGTCTCTACTTGTTGATTCGCCCCAGGAGGGGTGGATAGGGCAGACTGGGCATGGTGACGGTCTGTGTGAAAGTGTTGTATTTTTCAGCATGTCGCTACGTGGCTCATGATGCCTCCATCAGCTTCCAGCAGACCGCAGGAGACCTGGACGGACATAAGAAGTTTTAACGCGTTCACTCTTGAAATGTTGCTGCTGTCCGTCCATGAGATGAATCGGGATATAAGGAAGACACGTGTGTATATTTCTTTTATTGTGTTTGAATCTATTTTTGGATTCAGATTTCATTTTTACTGGCAGTGGGATTTTTGTAACCCACTTGGTTTCACTTTTTATGCCCTGTCTTTATTTAGCGTATAGCTGGCCATCATATTACAATATTTACTAGTTTGACTGCCAGCTCGTGTAGGTATATTTATAGATTTCCCACAAATGCAGTTGCATGACTCAGATATGCGCAAAAGAATGTAGTAATTCTAACATAAAATAATTTGATAAAATAATGAAATTACTTTCAATAAACTTTATATATTGGTTATTTTTGAAACTCTGCATGTGGAAACACAACACTGCAACTGACTGTGCAGGCTGGTCTTAGGGGATGATATAATGTGTTATGGGCTCTTAATCAAAGTTGATAATCGGTGATGGTATTAGTCCAGCTTAATATCTCTCCAGAGAACAGTTCGGCAGCACATTTACAACTAAGGCTTCCTTTGAGGATTGATCGCTGTCCCACCCCGGGCTGACACGTTTCAGCACCGGGGTCAGCGGACAGCGACAGACGCCGGTCCGCAGAGTGACAGACGGGCGTTTCAGCACCGGACAGCGCTCACAAGTGGAGTCCAGTTTATGATTGGCCCGGCTCTCCAACCCCCACCGCCACCCTTGTCAGCAAGAAAAGCGGCTGTGCCTGTTAAAGCTGATTAAAATATCTATTTGGTTCTCTGATGAGTGGATAAACCACCTGACATTGCTACTGTAGGACACCGGCACTGGCCGCTCAAACAGCGGCTAAATAATAATAAATATTATTCCTCTTTTTCTTTTTTTATTACAGCCACAAGAAGAACCGAGGAGGGAGCCTGATGCGGTCATCTACAGGACCATGTCTTCTTAATCTACCTGACTGTATCTTCCAGTCTTTCCAAGTGACCGAGTGACTTCAGTGAAGATGAGCAAAGCGGGGTCCCGGTCGGGCACCTCGCTGCCACCGGACACGATGGACATCATCCGCAGCAAGACCCACACCCGCCGGGTGAGACTCAACGTCGGGGGCCTCCTCCACGAAGTCCTGTGGAGGACACTGGACAGGCTGCCCCGCACAAGACTGGGAAAGCTGAGAGAGTGCAACACCCATGACTCTCTCATGGAGATATGCGACGACTACAGCTTGGATAACAACGAGTACTTTTTCGACAGACACCCCGGCGCCTTCACCTCCATCCTGAACTTCTACCGCACCGGGAAGTTGCACATGATGGAGGAGATGTGCGCCCTCTCGTTTAGTCAAGAGCTGGACTTCTGGGGCATCGACGAGATCTACCTGGAGTCCTGCTGCCAGGCC